CTCTCGCTCTCTCTCTCTCTCTCTCTCTCTCTCTCTCTCTCACACACACACACACACACACACACACACACACACAAACGACACACGGACATAGAGGAACTACATCCAGAGAGAAGGAAGTAATTAGCCAGGGAAAGGGAAGCGGCTGTAAAACGGGGAAATGTTAAAGGGACAACATCCCTCAAATTCTTCAACAGCACTTTGTTTGTCAGTTCATGCTGCAGCATGTAGGGCTACCAACCTCGAGGTGGTGGCTAGAGATCTCCTGGTCATTACAACTGAACTCCAGGCAACAGAGATCAGTTCCCCTGGAGAAAATGGCCACTTTGGAAGGCGGACCCCATGGCATTATGCTCCATTGAAGTTCCTCCCCTCCCCAAGCCCCGCCCTCTTCAGGCTCCACCCCCCAAATCTCCAGACATTTCCCAATCCAGAGCTGGCAATTTTATGCAACAGCACTTAAAGTGAAAAAATTACCACAGATCTAGCAAAAGCAACCCAGAAAATGCTGGAGAGCATTTGCTCTGACCGGGATAGCCTAGGCTGTCCTGATCTCAGATCTTGGAAGCTAAGCAGGGTTGGTCGGTCCAGGTTCATATTGGGGTGGGGAGACTATCAAGGAATACCACAGGGTGTCTTCATAGAGGCAGGCGACGGCAAACCACCTCTGAATGTCTCTTACCTTGAAAACCCTATGAGTTCATAGGGTTACCAGCCCCCAGGTCCTAGCAGGGGTTCCCCTCTGCTTATTGGTGGCTTCAATCCACCACTGGCCAGGTGGCTGGTGGGGGAAACCCCACCCCTAAACAGGGACATCATCACGCAACGTCACCAATGCTATGATGTCACTTCTGAGTGACATCACACTGGTGATGCTGCATGGCGGCTCTCTGGTTTCGGGGAAAAAAAACCATAGAGTTTTGCCCCAAAACCAGAGCGTTGCGCATGATGTCACTGACACAGTGCCGTCACTTACGGGTGAGGTCATCACGTCAGGGACATTGTGTGGAACATCCTGCCCACCCCCAGAACAACCCCCAAGTTCCCCTGTCGCAACAGCGAGGGGACCCAGCAACCCTGCTAGGTTACCATAAATTGACTGAAGCTTGATACCCCGATCCATCAGCACCAATGGGTTGTCAGTGGCAACCAACAGCTTCCCCATAGAAACTGAATGAAGAAACGGTACCTATGTACAGCTTGTAAGAAAGCAAGATGCACAGAGGATAAATTTGCCTCCTTTCCTTTCCCTCACTGTCAGATCCCAGAGATCTGAAGGATCTATGTGGTATGGCAAACAACTCCGCTAGTGCCAGTTGGGATCAACAGCAACCGTGGCATATAATGCTCCAACATACTGTAAGTAAAGCTGGTTCCTTTCCCAGGTATGAGAATATTTAATCCCTCCCCCACCCCGATCTCCAACAGTACAATCTCTGTTACATTTAAATGAAAATTATTGTAGTCATAAGTTGACAAGCAGGGAGAGAGACGTCAGACCCCCACCCTCCTTGCTGCTGCTCAGCATACTGCCTCTGAAAGTGGAGGTTCCATCTAGCTACCATGAATAATGGCCAGTGGTGGACCTTTCTTCCATTACGGTGGCCAACCTGCATATGGGATCTGAAGTTCTCCTGCAATGATGACTGATCTCCAGACTACAAAGATCAGTTTCTCTGGAGAAAAGGCAGCTTTGGAGGGTTTATGACATTGTACCATGCCGAGGCCCCTCCCTCCTCCAAACCCCATTCTCCTCGGGCTCCACCCCCAGATCTCCAGGAATTGGCAACGCTTTCCTCCATGAATGTATCTAATCACCTTTTAACATAAGCTAAGGCTCAAACTAGATCGAGGTCCAGAACGTAGTGCCAGCCGACACCTTGCCTGGGACATAGTGCCAGCCGACACCGAGTGTTTTTAGAAAGTGGGCGGGGCCAGCTGGAGCTTCTGCCCAGCAAAGCTTCGGTTTGACCACTGGAGATTGCTTCGGCAGCGGTTGCCACCACAGCACAAGGATCTTCACTGTGTGGCGGAAGGTAAGCTGTGTAGGGTCGCCAGGTCCCTTCGTTGCTCAGCCAGGGGACTTGTGGGGCATTCTAGGGGCCCCCCAAGCCCCGCCCCCAAGAGTGACCAGCCACCCGGGCACCCCCTCCCTCCCCTCCTGCCAGATGTAAAGGGCTTCAGCTGATCGGCAGGGGTCACGTGGCCCGCCAATCAGCTGGAGGGAGGGGGTTGGTTGTGGGCCATGCACTCAGTTCGCAGCCCCACGCACTGCAGCCTCCACCCCGCTCACAAAAGACCCTTTAAAGGGTCTTTTTGTGAGCCGAGCATGTGGTCCACGACCGCCCCTCTCCCTCCTGCTAGATTTAAAGGGCCCTCCAGCTGATCGGCGGGCCACGTGGTCCCCACTGAGCAGCTGAAGCCCTTTAAATCTAGCAGGAGGGGAGGGAGAGGGGCCGCTGGGTGGGTGGTTGCTTTTGGGGGCAGGGCGTGGGGCACGTCCACGCCCTTTCCCAGAATGCCCCCCCCAATGCCCCCACTGGAGCGATGGGGGTGCCTGGCAACCCTAATGTCAAAATTCCAAAGGCGCCTGTAGGCTCGAAAAGGTTGGGGGCTCCTGAACTAGATGTTAAGACTTTTACTGAATTAGGTCTGTGTGCAGCTTCAAAAGGGGGCAAATAATGCCCCCCCCCAGACCATTTGGCTTGTGGAAATGGTGGGTGGTAGAAGGCAGGATTCCCTCTCCCCATGTCACAGTCCCAAGCAGAATTGGCCCGCTGCGGCTCTTTAAAAGGCAGTTTCCTGCAGCCTCTCAGCCCGGTTTGTTAAAAGTAATAATGTCTAGTCTGAGCCTAAGCTAGCAGTACTCTCGCTACCTCTTGTGGCAGTGAGTTCCAAAGTCTACTGTGCACTGCATGAAAAACTGCTTTCATTTCTCAGTCCTGAACCATCTTCACTGGTCTCTCTCACGACAGACGCAGGGGGAACCTAGTTGTCGGGGTGTCTTGATCTCAAAGACATGGGTCCTAACAGCGGCTCACTGCTTCAGCAAGTTTAACGACACTCTCAGCTGGAGAGTCATTCTGGGTAAGGAGCAAAAGGAGAATGCCGGTCATGGTTCTTGATGCTGCAGGAGTTCTGGGGAGATAAGTGAGGTCTCAATCCCTGGCTTGAATGGTCCAGGCGAGCCCGATCTCACCAGGTCTTGGAAGCTAAACTGGGCTGGCTCTGGTTAGTACTTGGATGGGAGACACTCCACCATGGAGGTCCAGGATTGCTGTGCAAAAGTAGGCAACAGCAAACCAGCTCTGTTCTTCTTACCTTGAAAACACTATGGAGTTGCCATAAATTGGAACAGAGGTCACTGGGGGTGTGGAGGGGGAGGTTTTGTGAATTCCCTGCATTGTGCAGGGGGTTGGACCAGATGACCCTGGAGGTCCCTTCCAACTCTATGATTCTATGGCTGTGACTTGACAGCGCTTTCCAGCACCAAACTAGGTTTCTCTTTGTCTTTGGATGGGCTGGGGGCTAAAAGTAGGGTTGTCCAGCTCCAGGCTGGGAAATACCTAGAGGTATTATTTATTTCTTCTATTTGTATCCCGCTCTCCCCCACTATCGTGGGGCTCAGAGCACAGGAACTAGTGAATTTTTGCAATTGATTATTATAGCACGATGGCAATCTAGTAATTCCCAGTTTTTTTAAAAAAAAGCACGAAAAAACCCCTATCTGGTGTGGTGGTGGGGGGAAGAATGTCAGGTGCAGGGCTTAACACGACACCATATCGGGAAGGATTTGCAAAAATTCACATCTTCCTGTCCACATAGCAACCATTTCCAAAAAGACTGTACCAATCCAGATTTGAGAAAGATGCTAAGAAAGCACTCCCAGCCCAGGGAGGGGGATGGAGACAGAGCAGAACTAGGACAAAAAAGCGACAACATGTGGATTCTGCAGAAAAGAGCACTAGTAAAAAAGCCAAGACCCCAAATCCACTTGTGTGTGAATGACCTAAGAGCAGTTCCTTGGTTCAGTTTATCCTAACATCCACTATCGGTGTGGGTTCTCTCAGCATATGAGGATTTTCCTGGCCTATGCAGCATAATTTTCCTGGCCTGTGCTAGCAGGGCCATTTCGTACCCAGAAACTGCTGTGTCATTAATTTCTTATGCTCACTGTGAATGAAATTGTTGCAATAATTCCAGAAAGTTGTTGACCAAGAAAGAAGTTCCCCAAGCACCACCCTTCCTGCCACTTACCACAAAGCTGAAGTTGGTTCCCAGTTCTGAATTTGCAGTTCCAGGTTCTTATTTTTACCCCCAGCCCAACCACTAACATGGTTGATCTTATATTCTGGTGGGGCAGCCGTGCTGGTCTGAAGCAGCAGAACAAAATTGGACTCCAGTGGCACCTTTAAAACCAACAAAGTTTAATTCTCTGGGTACAAGCTTTCGTGTGTGTGGCAGAATGTGTCTGCTCTGACCTGCAGGCTCCATTCTGCCTTGCCCATTCTGGGGTTGCCAACTCCCTGGAGAGGCTTTTCCTTTACTCTCAAGTAGCTGCTGCCACCACCTGATCAATATAAGGATTTCCCACTGAAGGGATCAGGACCCTCAGCTCCCCTTCCAAGCTCAGAGGCCTTGACTCCGTGTCTCCCACTAGCCCAGTGCCTGGCTACAACGGTGACAGATGAATGCCTTGTGTGCCCCTGGGGGAATAGCCAGTTGCCAACCGCTTCCCTTCCCCCCTCCTGGGGCTCCCCTTTAAAATAGCATGTCCGAAGAAACCGTGGGGGGTCTGTGTGGTACAGAGAACCACTTCCAGCATCAAACGTTTAATTTATTAAAAAGAAAATGTTCACAAGCATTCTTTTAGCACAACGCCAGAATGAAGCGAAGAAGAACCGCGCATCTGTCCCAGGCCTACTCAGATCTGTTTTCCTTTCTGAAACTAGTCTCACACTGAGGCACACCGGAAGAAATTCCTCTTTCTGCCGTGAAAAGACCCACTGGCTGGCCACTCCAGCCCCTCCTTCCCTGACCTTTCCACAGAGCATTGCCTGTCCAGTCCAAAAGCACACAAGGCCCTCCCCATTCAGTCAGCGGCTTGCCAGTGCCTGAAGGCCGAAAAACCATCACCTTGCCGCCTAGCTCAAAAAGTCAGAGACCCAGGGGTCATTTTGTAGAAAAAGAGGTGCAGGAGCTCATTAGCATAACTCATTAGCATAACTTATTTGCATATGCCACACCCCCTGACATCACCGGAAGTGTGTCAGAAGTCAACACCCACCGCTCAGGCTCCACGGGACTGTTTTGGATTGCTAGCTATTTTTTTTTTGGGGGGGGGAGAACATGCAGATCTGTCCTCGCAGAGGAGGGAGAGCTTGTACCTGAATAAAACTTGGTCTTAAAGGTGCCACTGGACTGTTTTGGACTGGGGGCCTGGGGTTGGGGCCTCTGCAACTTACCTGGCTGCTTCCTGCTCTGACTGAGAGCTGCTGGGAGCAGGGGGTGGGGCTTGTTGCATGTGCCCGCCCCCTGGACTCTTTACTGCTGGAGCTCCGCTCCTGTGCGCTCCTGCAGTAAATGACCCCTGCAGAGGCCTAGAGCTGTTTTATCATTCCAGCGGCTCTGATATACTGTGGCCTTAGCCAGACTCTCTCTTGCCATTCACTATCTTTTTTCGCCCGTTCTCTAAATTATGCTGCGCAATCTACCACTGACTTCTTAGCCTCGGGAACCTTTTCTTCCCATCGGTTCCTTCCAAGATCCAGCCGCCCCCTGCCCATCCTCCCAAATTCTCCCAGAACCAGAGGGGACTGCACAGGTGCCCTGTCCTCGCAACCACTCTTGCCCCACTCCCTGGCAAGTCATGTTGGACTCACAACAGTCTTTCATATCCAGTGTTAACTTGGGCCTGTAAGAAGCCTCAGCCTAGGCTCGATGATTCCCAGCTGCCCTGCGCAGGAAATGTCATGCATCACCAGTTTGGTGACAGTGGTTTAAGTGCGCAGACTCTAATCTGAGAGAACCGGGTTTGATTCCCCCACTCCTCCGCTTGCAGCTGCTGGATGACCTTGGGCAAGCCGTAGTTCTGTCAAGAGCTGTTCTCTCAAGGGCAGTTCTTGAAAGAGCTCTCTCAGCCCCCACCTACCTCAGAGGTTGTCTGTTGTGGGAAGGGGAAGGGGAAGGAGTTTGTAAGCCGCTCTGAGACTCTGCATGAAGGGCGGGGTATAAATCCAGTCTCTTCTTCTTCAACTCCATGACTTTTTCTCTGTCCTGTTCAAGAACCACAAGTTGTCTAACTGCTTCCCAGGACTCCTGTCCAGTGTTCCCCCTAAGCTGAGTTAGTGTGAGCTAGCTCACAGTTTTTTAGCCTTCGGCTCACACATTTTTGTCTTAGCTCAGGAAGGATGGCTTCAGAGGGTTCGCTCACAACTTTGATGCCAGTAGCTCACAAAGCAGAATTTTTGCTCATAAGACTTCACAGCTTAGAGGGAGCATTGCTCCTGTCTGCCCTGCTTCCAGACCAGCTTCCTCTGAGAGAGAAAATCCCACTTCCTGATCTGCAGCTACTTGGAGAACTGGTTTCGGACCTAAGATTGCTCTGGACCTCCTCCAGGAACCATTCCCGTTCCCCCAAACCCTCAGCTATTTGCTCCTCAGAGCCCACACTAGCCTTGCTGCACTCAAGAACTCCCATGTGATCCTCACCCTTTCCCTCCGTTCCTTCAGCATGCGCATCACTGAAGCCAGACAGATTCTCTTCCTCACCAAGAAGACTGCACACTTGCCCCTCTGTCTCCTCGGTCTGAAGGTCACTGAAGCAAGACAGACCCCCCCTTCCTCACTAGGAAGATCTACAGCCCCCTACTGCCTCTGGGTGGAACCACACCCTTGCCCCTCTTGAGAGACCCCTGCCTCAGGGTTTGAGATGGGTTGGACTATAAGGAAGGCCGAGCGCCGAAGAATAGAGTCTTTTGAACTATGGTGCTAGAGAAGACTCTTGAGAGTCCCTTGGACTGCAAGAAGAGCAAATCAGTCAGTCCTAAAAGAAATCAACCCTGACTGTCCCCTGGAAGGCCAGATAATGAAACTGACGCTCAAATACTTTGGCCACCAAAGGAGAAGGGAGCACTCACTGGAGAAGACCCTGATGCTGGGAAAGATTGAAGGTCAAAGATGACGGGGACGGCAAAGGATGAGATGGTTAGACAGTGTCATAGATGCAACCAACATGAAATTGAGCAAACTTCAGAGGACGGTGAAAGACAGGAGGGCCTGGCGGGAGCTGGTCCATGGGGTCACGAAGAGTCGGACTCGACTGTGCGACTGAACAACAACAACACTCACCTTCCCCCTCCTGGGTCATCTGTTCCCCCACCATAACCTGAGCCATTTCCTCTCCCCCCCCCCCCGCGGGGAGAGCTGGTCTCCAGAGAGACCCTTTCCTCCCCCCACCCCTCTAGGGTTTGGCTGAATGTTACCATGTTCACTGAATACGGGCTGCCAAGGAGATCCCGGCCAATGATCACAGGGTACATGGCTGGTTTCCCATAACCAGTGGAGTATTCTTTTTTCTCCCCTCCCTCCAACACAGCTGACAAGACTGCTTACAAGACTGGACTCCCAATAAAGAGACGAATTGACCACGGCTTATACAACGTCCGAGCTAAGGTGGCCCAGGGCATCGAGGAATTCTACGACTACGACGTCTCCCTGCTAGAACTGGACGTACCCATGCAGGTGGCTCAGAAACTCAGGTAAGGTGCCCCACTGGTTGAACTGCTGTATGTAGAAGGCCCTCTGTGGCCTCTGAGACACAGGCGTGTCGCGGAGTGCGCTCCTTGCATCCCCAGGTCATCGTTGGATTGTAGCAGTCCAATTGCACCCTGCTGAAATCCCACTATAGTCACCACACAGACTCAGGTTTAGTGGTTAACTATATACAGTGCAGTTTATTTACAAGACACAGCTCTCACCATCAAAGTGCTTCGCCAAGCAGTCAACATTCAAGTCAGCACCCAATGTACAGTATATTCACAGTTATATACACATAATGACCAATCATATCACTGCTGAGTCACTCTGATAAGACATCAGAACCGGTTTGCTCTGGTTTCCTGGACTGACAGTTACTCTGACTCCTGTCACTTTAGATTGGCATGATCTGTTTACATTGTTACCCGTGCTTCACACATGCTGAATACTTACATATTCCAACAGGGTGCTCGGGGAGGAGATGTGCAAGCCTTGGTGTTCAAAAATTCGGCCATCCCAAGTTCAGTGGATTGATCTAGCCATCTAGTGCGTTTCCTACCCCTCTTTTCCAAGTGGCTCAAAGCAGTGTACGTGGTGTTGCCTGGTCCTTCCTGGCAGCTGGTGGAGCATGGGGAGCGGGCATACTGGGAGCAGGGAGTTTCATCTGATGTTTCAGAGACGTGCCCATGTGACTTCCCACGTGACCTGGAAGTGAGGTAGGCACGTCGGGGCGACACTCTGGTTTTTGGGCAAAAACTCTATGGTAGAATTGGCTTCTACCATAGAGTTTTTGCCCAAAATATAGAGCGCTGCCCTGATGTCTTTGACGTGCCTACATCACTTCAGGGTCACATTGAAGTCACGTAGGCATGTCGCTAAAATGTCAGGTGTTCCTCCCTTCTTTTTGTGGTAAGTCCCCCCAGCCAGCCGATTGGTGGCAGAGACGTGGGGCCTGGCAGCGGGGGACCCCCACCTCCACCAGGAAGGTCTGGCATCCCTAAGGGTATGTGCATCTGAGCATGAGCAGAGTGCCTCTCCTTTGTTATATGAAATGTCTGGTTTTTTTGAAAAAGGAAATTAACTTGACACAATCCCTTTGAGCATGCGCATGGTGCCTTTTCCCTACTGTGCTATTACCATAGTGAAGTCTGTTTGCTGCTGAGATCAGTCCTAGTGAAAGCCTAGCACGAGATTCATACCATATCAGGGCTGGATTGGGGAGGGCGACCTTGGGAAAGGGCCCCTCCCCCGGCCTACCTTCCTCAAAAGGAAGGGAGAGCCTGCCCAGGGTTGCCAGCTCTGGGTTGGGAAATACCTGAAGATTTTGGGGGGGGGGGGGGGCGCGGAGTCACAAGGTATAGATAGGGGCTCTGGGGCAAGTGATGCTCTGTCTTCTTGGTGCTTGAGGGGGTCAACAGTGGGAGGGCTTCTAGTGTCCTGGCCCCACTGGTGGACCTCCTGATGGCACCTGGTATTTCTGGCCACTGTGTGACACAGAGTGTTGGACTGGATGGGCCTTTGGCCTGATCCAACATTGGCATCTCTTATGTTCTTATGAGGGCGGGGTTTGGGGAGGGGAGGGACTTCAGCAGGGGAGAATGCCACAGAGTCCACCCTCCAAAGCAGCCAGTTTGGTGTAGTGGTTAAGTGCGCGGACTCTAATCTTGGAGAACCGGGTTTGATTCCCCACTCCTCCACTTGCACCTGGCTGGATGACCTTGGGCAAGTCGTAGTTCTGATAAGAGCTGTTCTCGAAAAAGAGCAGTTCCTGTCAGCCCCACCTACCTCACAGGGTGTCTGTTGTGGGGAGGGGAAGGGAAAGGAGTTTGTAAGCCACTCTGAGATACCTTTGGGTAGTGAAGGGCGAGGTATAAATCCAATCTCCTCCTCTTCTTCTCTTCTTCTCTGGGGGAACTGATCCCTGTCAGCTGGAGATCAATTGTAAAAGAGATATCCAGGCCCCACCTGGATGTTGGCAGCCCTGGCAGCCAGCCATGAACGGGAGATCCCTGGCGAAGTTGGGCAGCCAGGGGCACCCGTCCTTCACCAGGTGAGAGGAGGCTAGTAGGCCCGTCCCGACCCTCGCAGTGGTGAGGCCGGGCCGGCGCATCACATCCTTTGCCGCAGCAGGGCTGGAGAGACCGGGCTGGCCGGGCACATCCCTGGCTGTGGCAAGCTCTCTTTCCTCGCACTCCTGGCTTGTGCCCTCCCCTCTCTTTGTGCTGGGTTGGCACCTGGGCCGGCTTGGCCCCAGCAGGGGGAGGTAGTGGCCTCCCAGGCTGTCAGCCTACCTGGGTGTTTCCCAGTGGCCTTAGGGAGCCGTCCACCCCTGCAGCAGATGAGATGCTGGGAAATCCACAACTACATCTCCGGAATGTTTTCCCTTGGTAAACAGAGACTGTGGGAAGTCTCAGGACTGTGGCACTCTGAAATTCTCCCTGCACTGTTTTCATGACTTCCAATGGTTTTCTGGGGTACCGGGTGCCCTTTTTGACCCTATAATCATGTCATAGGTTTGCCAGTCCCCAGGCGGCAATCACAAAGAATGGAAATACAGCAAATGCAGTTATGCAAACAAATAAACAGAATGACAGATCGTTTCTGTCTGTTTGCTTGCCAACCTCCAGGTGGCAGCTGGAGATCTCCTGGGATGACAACTGATCTCCAGGCAGCAGAGATCAGCTCCCCTGGAGAAAATGGCCACTTTGGAAGGTGGACTCTATGGCATGATGCCCCACTGAAGTCCCTCCTCTCCCCTCCCCAAACCCCCCACCCTTCCTCAAGCTCTGCCCCTCCAAATCTTCAGGTATTTCTCAACCCACACCTGGCAACCCTATCTTGTAAGTTCCTTGTATAGTTTATCCAGTGGAGTAAATAGCAGTGGGAAAGGGCATTGGGGGTTGGGGAAAGTGCTACATACAGCCCTGCAGTTAGCCTCTCGACCAATAAAGTGACCAGATGCTTCTGCGTCTCTAATGCAATGCTAACTATTACCGTGCAACACATGTTGAAATTCTGTTGTTGGGCAATCCCAACCCTGTACCAAGGAAATCTGTGTTCTGTGTCCTATCATGCCTGTTTGCATACATGTGTCCTACTTTGCACAATTCTGTTTCTGCTGGTCTGGGGGAAGGTCAAAGAATTGTGCAGGATGCTGACTGCCCCCCGCCCATCTACCAGGAATCTTATTCAGCCACTCCTCTGGCGTCTGTGGTTTCAGCAGGCATTACATAAGAACCTAAGAGGAGCCAATGTTGGATCAGGCCAGTGGCCCATCCAGTCCAACACTCTGTGTCACACAGTGGCCAAAAATACCAGGTGCCATCAGGAGGTCCAACAGTGGGGCCAGGACACTAGAAGCCCTCCCACTGTTGCCCCCCCCCCCCAAGCACCAAGAATACAGAGCATCACTTGCCCCAGACTGAGAGTTCCTACCTATACCTTGTGGCTAATAGCCACTGATGGACCTCTGCTCCATTATGTTTATCCAATTCCCTCTTGAAGCTGTCCATGCTTGTAGCTGCCACCACTTCCTGTGGTAGTGAATTCCATGTGTTAACCACTCTTTGGAGCTGCCAGGTCCCCCCTGGTGGGGGATGGGGGGTAGGGTTGCCAGATCCAGATTGAGAAACTCCTGGAGATTTGGGGATGGAGCCTGGGGAGGATAGGCACCTCAGTGGGGTACAATGCCATAGAGTCCACCCTCCAAAGCAGCCATTTTCTCCAGGGGAACTGATCTCTGTAGTCTGGAGATGAGCTGTAATTCCGGGAGATCCCCAGGTCTCCCCTAGAAGCTGGCATCCCTTGCAGGCGTTTCAAGCATATCTTCAATAAGGGCTAGAAACTTGCGTTTTATTCTTTAAATGAAAGCTGAAATGCTTGGGGAGTTGAATTTACTACAGAGTCATGGCCTACCTACAGGCCTTGGTTACACTTCTCTGCGTTCCCTTCTGGGGACCATTCTAACATTCCTACCCACAGCCCTTTTCTGCAACATCCAAGCCAGCTGCAAAAACGTATGTCTTCTTTGCAGGCCAATCTGTCTCCCCTGCACCACAGGTGCCAACAAAGCTCTGAAAAAGCCAGAGACTGCAACCTGCAAGGATCACGGTGAGTGCATCCCTCTGATGGGGATGGGATTTTCCCCACTTTCAGGGGCCCTAGTCAGCCACTGGCCAACTGGCCACCCAGAAGTGACATCATCATGATGGGCATGCTGTGCGGGGGACGCTCTAGCATTTGGGTAAAAAACTCTATGATGACAATAGAGTTCTTTACCCAAATGCCAGAGCGTCCCCTGAACAATGTGCCTGGTGTGATGATGTCACTTTTGCCAGAAGACCCCAGGAGCTGGGCTGGAGCCCCCCACCGGGATACGGGTAAGACCTGGCAACCCTAGGGCACATTTGGAATTTTGACACAGCTTGGTGGGTTAGGGTTAACGTGTATTCTAATAACTCCGAGTCAGCATCGTTGTCCAGGATGGCTCAATAGTCCATTGCAAGAGAAGCTGGGAGGATGAGCCCATATAATAAAAACAGAATGCCTCATTTGTGGTGGGAGGGGGGGGGAGAATCCTCTTTTTTGAATAGAATACAAGTGTTCCCTCTGAGCGAGTGTGAGCCAGCTCACCGTTTTTTAGCCTCTGGCTCACCCATTTTAGTCTTGGCTCAGGAAGGGATGGCTCCAGAGCGAACGAATGCATGCAGCAGCCAAATCGCTCGCGTACCACTTTAATGCCGGTAGCTCACAAAAAGGGGAATCTTTGCTCACGAGACTCCACAGCTTAGAGGGAGCATTGCAGCATGAGATCCAGACGCATGTCAAGGATCAGTCTGCATGGAGGGAAGGCAAGGTGGAAGCAATCTTAGTCGTGCTCTGTAACTACGACACCACACGGGGGCTGTCAGTGATGCTCACACGCCAATACTCAGCTGCCCTGACCTGGACGGCCCAGGCTAGCCTGATCTTGTCTTGATGGCCCGTCCTGGAGGTGTGACCAGGCGGGAGCTGCTTAGTGCTGAATGGAGGCTGCCTACTGACTCACCCCCCCACGAGAAACCCTCACACTACATCTGCCCATTTCCGCTTTGTAGAGTTGGACCTGCTGAGTTTCGAGAAGGTGCCCGCACAGTTTGTATCCCTGGACAACGAGAGGATGAACGTACTGATCAAGACAAAGAAAAGCGTAAGCACGTTGTTTCCTGATTGTGGGAGTCTGAGAAATAATTAGAAATGTGGAGTCCTGGGGGGGGGGGAGTCCTGCCCCCCCGCCCCCAAGTCTTGAAAAGGAAAAAGTGGAGATAAACCCAGTTGCCACCCATGCGTTTCTCAGGGCTATTTTTGGGCAGGAACGCACAGGAACGGAGTTCCGGCTGGCTCCCAAGTTGGCCACGCCCAGCAGGAACTCATTAGCATAACAGGCCACACCCAACAGCAGGAACTCATTAGGATTGGCTACATTAGGGGTGTGTGGCCTAACATGCAAAGGAGTCCCTGCTACAAAAAAAAAGCCCTGGGTTTTGACAACAAACAAGGTCAACAGAATAAGAAGCAAAAGGTGGGTGTGGCTGGATGACCGCACTTCTGGTAACATGGGGGTGTGGCCTAACATGCTAGTAAGCTGTGCTGTCGTGGATGTGGCCTAATATGCTAATGAGTCCCTGCTGTTGGGTATGGCCTATTATGCTAATGAGTTCCTGCTGGGCTTTTTCTACAAAAAAAGCCCTGGCGTTTCTTAACTACATGTATGTTTTCGACATGATCAGATGCACATTGCAGGTTTCGTGCTGGCAATGTAATTCCATCCCAGGCATGTGCTGGCCTGGTTTGTGTTAGGACCACAGCACACAGGGAGAGGGGCAGGGAGAGGAGGGCTTCAGCTCCCCCCACATTTCATTTCCCCAACCTGAAAAAAGCCCCCAACAGCCACTGGTTGCCCCACTGTGGAAATCTAGGTGTATCCCATCAGGTGATGTAGAACCAACCCCCAAGAGGGTGATTAGTCTGTCCCTTCAGGGCTGTTTCAAGTCGGGGAAACAGTGCTGGGGGAGAGGCTTCAGCACCCTCACCCTGTGTGCCAGGGTTCTAACTAGGGTTACTAAGCTATGCCAGGCAACCGGAGGGAAAGGCAACATCTTCTGTGCCAGTAGGTCACTTCCAAGGAAAACCCAGAAGTGACGTAGGGTATCTCTAGGAACTGCTGGAAGCTCTATGGTAAAAGCTCTATGGTTTCTGGTGATTCCTAGAACTACCCTACATCCGGTTTTTCCCTAGAAGTGATGTAGCAGCACAGAGGGCACTTGCTTTCCCCCCCTCCGCCACTTGGAGTGGCGGCAGGCAGCTAGGGCTGCTGATAGGAGGCCCTAGTTCCAACCCAGATCAGGCCGATGTGTACCTGGTAATCAAGTTCCCAGCACAGACTTCACCGCCCACATCTGATCACATGGACCAGAGAAAGACTGGGGTGGATGCAAGGGAAACGTCATGTGTAGTCAGGCCCTTATAATTAAACCTGAAGCTGTTTTGCACAGGGAGCACACCAGTTTAAATGAGACGTTGCCCTGAGTACAGAGTCCCGAGTCCCACAAATAAGTTCTCAGTCCACACCACAGGCTTGGAGCCGATGTTTTCCAAGGCTCTTTTTGTAGCAGGTACTCATTTGCATATTAAGTGACACACCCCTAATGTAGCCAATCCTCCAAGAGCTTACAGTAGCTCCTGTAAGAAGAGCTCTGTAAGCTCTTGGAGGATTGGCTACATTAGGGTTGTGTGGCCTAATATGCAAAGGAGTTCCTGTTACAAAAAGAGCCCCAGCAATGGTAGCAGCGCTGCTGCATTTGACTAGAATACTCAAGCAGACAACACTCTGAAGATGATGTTGGAAAAGCACCTTCAAATATTGCAGGATACTGAACACCTTCAGGTATTTCGGTCCAGAAGCACAGTCTGGGAGTACGCCAAACATCCCGTGTCCGCCATGTGGTAGCTGGGCTTTTGTGCAACACACCCTGTTGACCCCCTGTCCTTCTAACGTCCTTCCCATTACTCCAGTTACTGCATCAGATGAAGCAAACCAGTGAATGCATGAAAGTACACCCTACACTTGCGCACGCACACACACACACACACACACACACAATCAAGGAACAAACTCAAAAGTTTAAAAAGTTGAGAAGTTTGTTTCAGTTCCTGCCAAACTTCCTGTTTTCTGAAGACCATGACGCTCAAAATGAAAATTAAAACTGAGAAGCTGTGGATTATGCAGACACTGATCCTGATGACAAAGAAACTGGCAGCTCCACTGTAGACACTGGGGTTGATTTGCAATGGCTCGTGCCACAGAATGATGGGGCATTTGTACTTCACGGCCCCTTTGCATTTGCTGACTTAACGGTATGCAGATCTGCAAGAATCTGACATCCTGTCTGTGCATCCCTTGCTTCCTTGCAGCGCCCGAAGTGCATTTCTGCCGCTGTCCAACACAAGCTGTACTCCAAAGTGGCCAACATCTCTGAAGTCGTGACTGACCGATTCCTGTGTAGCGGAGGAGATGGGAACGGTGTGGTGGAGGATGCGGTTTGCAAAGGTTGTTCTGTTACATTAGAAAGGCATATTTATCCCCATTAAGATGGGTGGTTGGGAGGGGGTTGTAAAATAAAATACAAAGTACTTAACACCATGGAACAAAGTTCGAAGGCAGGGGCAACGTTAAGACCAAGAAAGTTTTATTCAAGGAGTGAGCTTTCGTGCGCACAGAGACTTCGTCAGACAATGAAATGGAATTTCAGATCGTAGTTGTACATATAGCGGGTGGCTTGTTAAAATTAGCATGCAAAATAGTGAAGTGTTTTTAAACAGATAAAAAGAATGACAAGCTGGGTTTCTGGTTATCACCATTTTGCATGCTACTTTAACAAGCCACCCGCTCTATATAGACCACTCTGATCTGTAATTCCATTGCATTGTCTGAGGAAGTGTGCCTGCACACGAATGCTCATACCTTGAATAAAACTTTGTTGGCCTTAGAGGTGCCATGTTTGGACTCCAACTTTGTTCTGTGGCTTCAGGCCAGCATGGCTGCCCACTTTGATCTACTTAACACCATATTATTGAAACAATAAAATTTAAAGCAGCTAAGTAATAGTTTACAATTAAAATTGCAGTTAGAGCCACCACGGTCTCTCAGTTTAGACACCATCACAAGTAAGAACCTGTTAGTTAATGGTCAGGCTCACATGCTCCCTCCCAAAGTTTGCCAGCTCCGAGTTGGGAAATATCTGGAAATTTTGGGGGTGGAGCCTGGAGACGGCATGGTTTGGGGAGGGGAGGGACACCAACGAGGTCTAGTGCCACAGAGTCCAGCTCCTGAGGTGACCATTTTCTCCACGTGAACTGATCTCCAGTTCCAATCCCAGGAGATCTCCAGCCAGCACCTGGAGGTTGGCAACCTTATCCCCCTTTCCCTTCACGCTGCTATTGAGACGGAAGGCAAGATTCTTCTGCTTCAATGGACTGTGTGACATGTAAATGCCATAATAAACAGGGTTTAGTCTCCTTCCTTGTAACCAAGACTCGGAAATGTGATTTAATCCAGGCGTTAAGCACTGGCAAGTTTGTGAGGTCTATGAATACAATTGGGACTGATTTCCTCTCTGGGGGTTAAGGAGGTCCGAGGTGGCAGGGCTTATGTTGGCTTCTACCACTCCTCTTTTCACAGGTGAATCTGGGGGGTCCTTGTTCGTAGAGAGGCGAGCCCGATACTTCCAGGTAAGCAAACCTCTGGTGGTCTCCCACTGTTGCCCCACTTGCTTTTACAAGCGAGAACAAGATGATATTCCAAAGGGTCTTCTGGTTACCTGACCATTTCACTTAGGTCTCCATGTGAACATAACACATTGATTGAGTTCAAATAGTCAAACGGGCCAGATTCGTCCTTGATTGAAGCTAAGTGGGCCAACCCATGCTTCACCCCATGATGTCATCAGCTCCCATCCAGTGACATCATCACTCCCCGCCCCAGGACACCATCAGTCCTCACCCCATCACTGTTCCTTAAAAACATTTTAGGCCGAGAAAATGGCATTGGGAGGTGATGTAACCAGCTGTTGCGGGGAGCAAAATGTATAAGGCTTCCTGGGCAGGATCAGGCTGGCTGGAAAGAATTTCCCATATGAGCAAGTCTGGCAAAAGGTATTCACATCAGAACGGTCCTGCATATCCCATTCATGTTGGTTCCAATATCTGGCATTCAAAGATATATAGCTTCTGACCATGAGTTAGTGCACTTCATTATACTGGCGAGAGCCAGTGTGGTGTAGTGGTTAAGATCTGGAGAACTGGGTTCGATTCTGCACTCCTCCACATGAACCCAGCTGGGTGACCTTGGGTCCGTCACAGCTGTTTCAGAGTTCTCTCAGCCCCCAAAATAAGTCTAGCTCGCCACCTAGTGGTGCATGATGCTGATGAGCTAGAATGCCAGACAATCTTCGGATTTCCTGGCTATACTACATGCAATGCCATACAGAAGTAGTAATAGTAGTAGTAGTAGTAGTTGCTGTTGTTATACTGGCTGGTTGCAGCTGATAATCTTAAAGCCACTTCAGTTATAGTATTCCCCTATATCTCACTCAATAATTACATAGTCAGTAGCTGTGTGGACTTCATATCTATTTCCCCAAAGTAGGTTTGCAATTGCTGTTTTCTTGTTTGGCGAGTCTGCCTCTGTTTTACACATTTCACTATTGCCGGGCAGTGTTTGAACAAAATATGAATTCTGTGGACAGATCTTGCGCAATGACCTTTGATCCTTCTGTTCTTGTGAACTGTAGATGGCCATTTTAGCCCTCTTCTCTCCTTGCAGGTGGGTGTGATCAGCTGGGGGACATTTGATCCTTGTGAAAAGAAGGGGAAAAGCATGGAGACTGGACACAGAATTCGGGAAGCACCCAAGCGGGGTCAGAAACCACGAGATTTCTACATCAGTCTGTTTCAAGTACAGGATTGGCTACGGCACCATCTAGCGGGATCCTTGAGATTTATCCCTCTGCAGTGATTCCTCCCCCCCCCAAAAAAAAATCCTCACTTTCACTGTTACCTAGAATTCTTCCTGGCCGGTGTTGCCAAGTTTCTAATCTCCATGATACATAATAATAATTTTTAAAATCTCTGTTAAATGTTGTTTGTGCTGATTTATCTATCTATCTATCTATCTATCTATCTATCTATCTATCTATCTATCTATCTATCTATCTATCTTTGGATTTATATCCTGCCCTACCCCGAAGGCTCACCATATCGAAGGGTCAGAACTTTGCATGAGTGCTGATTGTCTGGGGAGGGGCTGTGGCTCAGCGGACAAATCTCTGCTTGGCATGCAGAAGGTCCTAGGCTCTGTCAGGCTTACCAATAACTCAGTATCAACTGCCAGTCCTTAAGTAAGAAAAGGTTTATTGATCAGAGAATGGAATACCATGGACTTCTAAGTCAGAAATAAGGCAATTCAAAATGGTGCACATACTTATACAGGTTTCGTATAGGACCCTCTGACCTCCTAGGGCCAATAAGACATTACAGAGAAGTGCGGGCTAATACACAAGAGCGCGGGGAAAAGCATAACGGCTTGGGATGGGAGTAGGGAGGCGCAGCATTCTCGCGCCCAAGGAGCTTAGTAGCTCAAGGCCAATTAGATATGCTGGAAGGAAAAAAGTATAGCCAGGCAAAACATCCCTTACTATGGTGGGTTCACCCAACATCCTGCGCCCCCAAGACCCCTCCCCCCGGCTTCTCCGGGAAATGGGAATGGTTGTAGTTGTAGTGGATAACTCACTGAAAATGTCGAGACAGTGTGTGACTGCAATAAAGAAGGCCAATGCTATGCTGGGGATTATTAGGAAGGGAACTGAAAACAGATCAGCCAATATCATAATGCCCCTATACAAATCAATGGTGCGACCTCATTTGGACTACTGTGTGCAGTTCTGGTCACCACACCTTAAAAAGGATATTATAGCTTTGGGAAAAGTGCAGAAAAGGGCAACTCGAATGATAAAAGGGTTGGAACACTTTCCCTATGAGGAAAGGTTAAGGCGCTTAGGGCTCTTTAACTTGGAGAAAAGACGACTGAGGGGTGACATGATTGAGGTTTATAAGATTATGCATGGGAAAGAACAGGTAGAGAAAGAAGTACTTTTCTCTCTTTCTAACAATACAAGAACTCGTGGGCACTCCATGAAATTGCTGAGCGGTCGGGTTAGAACGGATAAAAGGAAGTACTTCTTCACCCAAAGAGTGATTAACACATGGAATTCACTGCCACAGGAAGTGGTGGTGGGTACAAGCATGGACGGCTTCAAAAGGGAATTAGATAGGCATATGGAACAGAGGTCCATCAGTGGCTATTAGCCACAAGGTATAGATAGGGACTCTGGGGCAAGTGATGCTCTGTCTTCTTGGTGCTTGGGGGGGGGCAACAGTGGGAGGGCTTCTAATGTCCTGGCCCCACTGGTGGACCTCCTGATGGCACCTGGTATTTTTGGCCACTGTGTGACAGAGTGTTGGGCCTTTGGCCTGATCCAACATTGGCGTCTCTTATGTTCTTATGTTCTTAACTTGGAAACCAAACAAGGGGCTCGTACATCTGACGCTTTGACCCACTCCCGATGTTCAGGCCCAAAATCCACCCACTCAACCAGATAATACAATTGGTCACGTTTCATTTTAGAGTCCACAATTTGGGCCACTTCATAGTGCGGCTGGCCATCCACCATCACGGGGGGTGGGGGTCGGGCCTGGGCCGGGAACCGGGCATTAGTTCTGGGATCCTTCCTGAGGAGAGAAAAGTGAAACACAGGATGGACTTGTTGCAGATTTTTAGGCAGTTCAAGTTCAACAGTCACATTGTTAATTAAACGGACAATCAGAAAAGGACTGTTTACTTCCATCCGAGCTTACAGCTCGGCTGAATTCCACGCAAGTTCTTTGTGGACACAGACACAACCCCCCACCCGCAGTCTCAATTCCTCAGACCCCCAACCAGGCAAAACATCCCTTACTATGGCAGGTTCACCCGACAGGTTTGATCCCCAGCATCTCCAGATAAAATGATCTGGCGATAGGTGATATGAAGGACGTCTGCCGAAGAACTTGGAGAGCTGCTGCCAGTCGGAGTGGACAGTACTGACCTTGATGGACTAATGGTCAGATTCAGTATAAGGCAGCTTCAGGCGTATTCAAAACCTCAGAATCTGTTTTCAGTGCCAGAGTTCCATCGCAGTGCCAGTGTTCCCTCTAAGCTGAGTTAGTGTGAGCTAGCTCACAGTCTTTTAGCCCCCAGCTCACACATCCTCAGGAAAGGATGGCTCCAGAGCAAACTAATCGATGCAGTAGCCAAATTGCTCGCTCACAACTTTAATGTCAGTAACTAACAAAGTGACAGACTTCACGTTCCTGGGATCCCAGATCACCGCAGACTGTGACAGCAGCCATGAAATTAAAAGACGCCTGCTCCTTGGGAGGAAAGCAATGGCGAACCTAAACAGCATGATAAAAAGTAGAGACATCACCCCGCTAACAAAAGTCCGCATGGTCAAAGCAATGGTATTCCCAGTAGTCATGTATGGCTGCGAGAGTTGGACTATAAGGAAGGCCGAGCGCCGCAGAATAGATTCTTTTGAACTATGGTGCTGGAGAAGACTCTTGAGAGTCCCTTGGACTGCAAGAAGATCAAATCAGTCAATCCTCAAAGAAATCAACCCTGACTGTTCCCTGGAAGGCCAGATAATGAAACTGAAGCTCAAATACTTTGGCCACCAAATGAGAAGGGAGCACTCACTGGAGAAGACCCTGATGCTGGGAAAGATTGAAGGTCAAAGAAGACGGGACGGCAAAGGATGAGATGGTTGGACAGTGTCAGCGACGCAACGAACATGAAATTGAGCCAACTTCAGAGGACAGCGGAAGACAGGAGAGCCTGGCGGGAGCTGGTCCATGGGGTTGCGAAGAGTCGGACTCGACTGTGCGACTGAACAACAACAACAAGCTAACAAAGTAGGATTTTTGCTCAAAAGACTCCACAGCTTAGAGGGAGCATTGCTCAGTGCATGTGAAGCTACCATATGCCTCTGAAGACGAGCAAAGCGTGACCAGGTAGCCACAGCCAGAACCAGAGAGGAAAGATTTGGTACTCTGAATCTGGAATTCTGTGGCAGATTATAGCCCTGGTCACTCTCATTGTGCAAGGTAAGCATTTCCAGCCAACTGGTCGTGCTGTGAACTTCCACCTTAGAGGTGCCGCCATCCCTTCATGCTTTCTCATTCTTTGACACCTCCCTGTGGTGTGTGTCGGGGGAGGGGGGTTGCAGATAATGCAAAAATGTGGTGATTTTTTTTTTTTGCTCAAAAACAACCTCTGGGTGGGAGGAGGCCTGCGCTGACCCTTTCGCTATTCAAACATGAGCTGGAATCTGGACTTGGGACCCAACTGGGGAAGAAATAATCGGGATGTATGAAGGACAGAGCTTTGAGTCAGAATACACAAACTTCCTAGGGGGGCACAGCTAAAGTAAATCCCGTGCTTTCGTTTTCCTGAGAAATTGCGGGCTGGTGGTTGGCTAGGTAACACCCACCCTGTTTCCAAAAGCATTCCTGTCCGCTGCGCTTTTCTTTTCTTTTGTGTCAAAAAAATGAGGAAGTTCTGCTCAGTCTAGCTGTGTTAATAATGTAATGTTGAAAAACAAATATGAGCGGAGGGGGAAGAACGGGGAGGCACCTACGTGGCCGCAGATCACGTTAGCATCACTGGCTTGCAAGGCTGTGGTCCCATCCTGCACCCTCCCCCCAATAACAATCCTCCAGAATTTCCGAATTCTGAAATTTCATATTTATCCAAACCGGGGATTTCCCCATTGAACTTTCTTCACTTCCTTCCTTAAAGAAGTCTGGGTTTTCCCTCTCCCCCCTCCCCCCCCCCGTCTGGATTCCTCTATACCTGGTGGTCACATAACTCTGGCCCTCTCCCTAATCTGATTGCCCAATGGAGTTTGTCATTTCCCAAAACTCAGCTGCTTTCTCTGGGTGGGGTTTGCCAATAACTAGCTTTGTGAAGCGAGCCAAAAATTTCACAAGTTATCAGAGCTGCAGCGCCTATAACAGAGAGGGAAACAGCAGCCGGGAGAGACGAAGGACCAGCCGAAAGGAGAACCAGAAATGCAGCTGCGTGACCAGCTTGTCTACATACTCCTTGCCCTTGGGGCATTTTTTACAGGTAAGGTAATGCGTTCCAGAGTCGTCTGCAAATATTCCTAGTGCCGTTATTTTGCCCATCTCATATATCTCTGCTAACCTGTTGTTGAGACAATGCCTTGACAATGCAGGAATAATTCATCCAGGATATTATGTTTGTTCCAGCACGGAGCTGAAATAATTTGCTGCC